TATATATTTGCTTTCTGCTTTTTTCTGAAAGTGAAAATGAATTTACATAAAATGCTTGTCCACTAACTGGCATGCCACAAACACTGAGACATTCTCACATATTACGAGCATGTTATCAAGAAATTATTTTCAAGCCACACCTGCTGTTGGCAGGGCAAGCAAGACTACGTAACTGAGCTAACTATACAAATCACCCATGTTACTTATAACTAATCTAAAAACTTTTTTCTTTTTCTCTTTTTTGAGACAGGGTCTCACTTTGTAGTCCAGGCTTGAACTCATTATGTAGCTCACACTGGCCGCCTCGAACTCAGCAATCCTCCTAGCTCAGCCTCCCATGTGCTGGGACTACAGGCATGTGCCACCATGCCTGCCCATCTACAGATGTCCTTACATCTTCTCTAATACTAACATTTTAGCCTGCTTCAAAACTTTTTAAAATTCCACTTTACCACTAATAGAAAATCTAAACCACATGATAAAAATGCAAGGCCTGTCCAAATTGCGCTTGTACCACATCTCCTCTCCTCTTCCTTGACCCCCTTCCTTTGACAACCCACCTTCTCCCCTAGTTTAGAGGTTGTTACTTTCTCAAAGATGTGGGATAATGGTTATTTCCAGAGAAGTGAGTTACTGAACATTTTGCTGCTACTTCCTGTAGTTCCTCAAAACATCATTAGCCAAGATCATAAGCAAAACCTATCCCTATTGTGTGTTGCAATACCCACCAGGGAGGTATTTTAAAAATAAACCAGGCATCCAGACTCCTAAAACTAAATTAGGCCTGCAAGACATCAGTTTCACTTAAAAAAATGTGGGTCATAAGCCACCCTCCCCAGCACGCAGAATAAGGCCTCCTTCAGCCATCCAGAGTCACTCCCTTTACCTCCTCTTCACCCCCTGGAGATACCTGAGGTCTAAGAAGATGAGACTTTTAATGGGCAGATGTTTCCCAAAAGCCAGTGTGTCTCGCAACAACCACAAAGGCACTATGTCTAGGATCCCTGCAAAGGACATGCCCGTGTTAGTACACTCAGGAAAACCCAAAGACATTGCTTCTTTCAGGATATTTAAAATTTTTCTCATCCCAATACATTTCACCACCTAGAGGCCATTTTGATCAAAGCAGTGTTATCGGGGCCAGCGAGATAGCTCAGCAGTCTAAAGTGCATGCTTAGGAAAGCTTAGGCAAGTGCAGGGACTGAGGTCTGATCCCCAGCTCCATGCAATGCACCAGCCCCACCTCCTGGGTAGGCCAAGCTGGCCACACGGCCACACGGCCACACACACACACACACACACACACACACACAGTGTTACCCTACCATCTAGTTGATACTATACATAATTTTCAGAGAAACAAAGTTAAGAGGTTAAAAGAAAGTGCAATTTTCAAGCAACCAAGAAAAGGATTATAACTTTACCTACAAATATGTATGTTAAAAATAAGCAATTAGAATAATCTCTAAAATAGGAAGAAAAGAGAAGGGGAGAAAGAAAACATTTCATCAGTATACTTGCCATCAGCAGCCGCACCGTGCGCTAGGAATATGTAGTAGCTTGTGTTTAGATCAAATCTATGCTTGACACCAGGAAGGGCAATCTTTCTTCTAAAAGAACACTGTATAATACCGTCTGCAAACCTCCAAGCCATATCCTCAAGAGGAGCCTGAAAACACACACAATGGGTCTTCTCAGCACTTTCCAAAAATTTGCTAAAAATAAGACATGATCACAATCCTGACCCGTCCAGTTTCCTTTCTTTAGGGCCATAGTGCATGCTCTGTCTGCAGTCCCATTGTTTTTCACTTCCTGTGCAAGGAGTAGAAGAATCATTTTCCCCCAATTTATTTGTCTTTATCCCACTTGGCAAAAATATTAATTTTACTCTGAGCCAGAGTCCTACAGCTCCCCAGTTAGAAACTTTAGCAGATGTACCAGCTCCATCTGGCCATCAGTGCACAATGGAAAGCGCTGAAGAAATGATTCCTCAGTGATCCCTCAGGGGCCAAAACGCAACAAGCAACTGGGGAGAGTTTTCAAGCCAGCTGAAAGAGGCGCCCTGTGGGAGAGCTACGCACAGTTATGTCATCGAGTGATGCCTGCTCAGGCAGCCCACATTTGCTATGTCATTAAGTAATAGCTACTGTTCCTTCAGAGCTCATTTGTTTGTCAATTGCCATATGAAAAAGACATTTCTCTACCAGAAATGGCCCACATCTGGCACAATTGTCAACAGAGGGCACGCAAGACAACTGCCCCAGGGACCACTCTACCATGCATGTTCTTCCTGGCTTATCAAGGAATCCTTCTGTCACCAACATAAGCCACTTCTTTGTTACATACCAGGAATTGAATTCACAACCTCATGCTTGCCAGGCAGGCACTACGCCGCTGGGCTAAATCCCCAGCCCAAGCCTCTCATGCTCTGACCATGGTAACAAAACCAGAAAAAAAAAAAAAAAAAAAAAAAAAAAAAAAAAGAGAAATTATCATAGGCATCAATGATATAAGTGGCATAAGCAAGGCTTCATCTTTTCATACAAAAGAAACTTGCTTTATGCTTTCTAAAGTGTAGGAAGCTGGGCATGGTGGTGTTTGCCTATACTTCCAGCACTCAGGAGGTGGAGGCAGGAGACTTGCTGTAAGTTCAAGGCCAGCCTGTGCTGCAGAGAAAAACCCTGTTTCAAAAGGGGAAAAGGGGAGAGGAATAGAAGAGAGGGTAGGACAGGGGAGAGGACAGGAGGGGAGCAAAGACAGAAGGTACTCAGGTCATTATGAAAGGAATCCTGCTGCGCCCCGCCCAGGCTAGGCATGGCTGCATCCACGACAGCCACACAGAGATGGAGCAGGACAGTGGGCCAGCCAGAAAGAGGGTCCCTAGATGCTCCCACTCACCCTGGAGTCCATCACAGGGCGACTCCGTCCTGTCAGGTAGGAAGGCTGTATGTGCACCGTCTGGTCTTCATGGATGCACACGTAAGCATCATCATCGCCCTGAGGAACAATTGCAAATGAGGAGATGGTAAAGTGCTTTCAACATTAAAAAAAAAAAAAAAAAAAAGCAAAACTCTAGGAGCGGGAGAGATTGCTCAGTGGCACAGTGCCTGCCTAGCAAGCGCAAGGTCCCAAGTTCAATTCCCAGTACAAAAAAATTTTAAATATAAAACTTTAAAAAAAAAAATCTGGGGCTGTCCAGATAGCTCAGCAGACTAAAGCACCTGCTTAGGCAGGCAAAGGGACCAGGTTTCTATTCTCCAGCCCCACATGCGGTGCTGGTCCCGCCCCTGGGGACTGCCGAGACAGTGGCTGAGACTGAATGTGGTGGCCCAAAGTGCCTGTAATCCCAGTGCTTGAGAGGCTGAAAATAGGGGGACTCCAATCTGAGAACCTATAGATCCTGTACAAAAAAATAAATAAATAAAAAATAAAATAAAATAAAAATCCTAATCGAATATTATTTGACTTTGTTAAAATGTAATTTACTAATTTAAAATTATGAAATCTAGATAAACAGTTGTCCAGTATGTTAGGGAAAAATAATGTCTTAGAATATAAAACTAAAATTTCAGCATAAAATAGGAGGAGTGTAACTCAGTAGGACCATGTTTGTCTAGCATACACAAAACTCTAGCTTCAATTCCCACTACTGAAAAAGAAGACATATAATGTACTGCGGTCCATAAATTCCTCACCAATTAATGCCACTATTAATACTTCTATATATATACCTCTAAACTTACTTTTACTTCTACCGATTTTTCATTGCTACACACGTCAGCATTAGCCCAGGACAACATTAGAAAGCTTCGAGGGAATATTTTCCAGAGTCTCAATTGTCTGGGGAAAAGAATCTCAGGGGCTATGTGGAGAATACAAGGCAGAGGGGAAATGGTGGGCACAGAAGGACTAGGGAAGGGGGACTCTACAGCAGTGTAGGAAAATGCAATAAGAGACAGGCCAGAGGGCTGGGACAGAGCTTGGCAGAATGGCGCCTGCCTGGCAAGTGCAAGGTCCTGAGTTCAACACCCAGTTCAAAAAAAAAAAAAAAAAAAGGCTGGTAAAGAGACAAGCTGTGCTAGCCCCACCCCTGGGGCACACTGAGACAGGATTGAGACTGGGTGTGGTGGTGCATACCTGTAATCCCAGGACTTGGGAGACTGAAAACAAGAGAATCACTACGAGTCCAATCTACGTAGTGAGACCCTGTAGACCGTGTACCAAATATATTTTTTAAAGAGAGAGAGACAGGCCAACTTAGAGACCCTGAAGCACAATACAGAGATGAAAGCAGCATGTCACAGACGGACTCAAAAGTACCTGGGACAGGTGGCTCTGGGTGGGGAGCTAATACAAACAAGACCCAGGTTTGAGCCCCAAGGACTGCAAAAATAAGACAGAAATGTGGAGACCCATAGAAGTAAAAACTTAGCATGCAAATCTTTGCTTTCTAGGGGGTGGTAAGATAGTTCAGTGACTTAAGCACCTGCCTAGCAAACGCAAGGTCCTGAATTCGAACCCTGGGTACCAAAAAGAAAGAAAAAGGAATCTTGGTTTCTAAATATTTTTTCCACCCAGAACTGATACTAAAACTAGAGCCTTGACAGGGAACTACATCACCAGTCTTCTTCTTCTTCTTCTTCTTCTTCTTCTTCTTCTTCTTCTTCTTCTTCTTCTTCTTCTTCTTCTTCTTCTTCTTCCTCTTCCTCTTCCTCTTC